CGGCTGACAACAATATATGAAAAGCTCTTGAGCTCTGAGAAGATTGGAATGAAAGGGGGAAAACAGGCAGAGGGAAAAGCGTTGAGCAGACCTTGCCAAGCTTAGAGACCGCTCAGAATGCCAGTTAGCTGAAAGAATATCTTTGAATATGCCCACTGAAATGAAACAAGGTGCGTCTCCTCCTCCCGGCCCTGTTCTTGTCTTGTGCTTCTGGAGGAAACACAGCAGGAGGAAGGTCTGCCGTCTTCACCTGGTGTGAAGCCCATAGTAAAGACATGCACTCTTGGCTCCTGAGTTTCAGCAGATTATGATGGGAAAGAGTCTCCTGATGAACTTCCAGGAAATGTGACACCACTAGGGAGAGGGACGCAGCTGCCTTGGGCAGCAGGCCTTGGAGGAGGATGAAAAGGGGAGCATATTGTTATTTTAATGGTTGTTATTGTATTTTGAATGCCGGAAATTGGGAGGAGTCCTTGTGAAATGTCTTGATGTGCCAAACTAATTTGGCTGGCCTTGGGTATTATTAATTCGGCTGGGTAGGATGACTCTCAGCTGCTCTGCCTTAGGCAGCTACCTACCTTGGGTTGGAAGCCTGTAAAATAAAAATGTCTTTTAACATGCAAAAGCAAAATCATTGACTTTTTTTTAAGCTAGCAATCCAGAAATAGTTATCCTGAACCATTCCAAGAACTCTGCTCTGAGAACTCGTGCCATAAAGTGCACCTGTTAGAAATGCAAACAAGAGGCCTTGGAGGACAGACTCAGGGCATTCTTGTTTAGAAGGAGATCTGCTAAACGCAGGGCTTGGTTTGCATCCATCATCTCATCAATGAATTACGACAAACAAGAGCCTCCTCCAACGATGCACTGGAGGAGGACTCAGTTCGCTTACTCTGCCGTTTTCTACATACGATGATGGCAGGAGCGGCTGGAAGTTCCCTGTCTATCTCGGAACCTAAAAATAATGTTCTGTTTTCTAATTGGTAACAATGGAGACAGCCTTAGGGTGTTTGTATCATGTTATTCAGAGACAAAACTCCTTTCACATTTCAGAGGGTGTGGTGAGGAAATGCACCAAGCTTGGGGTCATAATCAAAGGTATCCTTCCTTCCCTAACCCGAGGCCAGCAAGATTCCTGTGAATACAGTTCCTATAATCTCCCACCGAAATGTCTACTTGGTGAGGATGGGTGAGATTCATGGATCCAACACACACCTGGAAAGCACCAGCCTGAGCAAAGCTGTCCCTGTTGCAGTACGCTAACCAGCAGAGGGCGACTCTACCCTGACAGATGTGTCTCGCTATGGCTCAAAGTTGAAGTCAAGGGGACCAATGCTTACAGGAGAGTTGGCTGTACTTTAGAGGCCACCATTCTCCCTCTTCTGCACAGGCAAAGGTTATTTCATTGCACAAAGCCAGCATTTCTCCCTCAGACCGCAGCCAGCTCCCTTTTGTCCGCCACATGGATGCAATTTAGTTGTTTTCGCTGCTGCAGCAGCTACTGTCTCAATCCGGCTGCCTCGTTCCTCAGCCCATAGTCAAGACATGCGCTCCAGTCTCCAAAGAGATGGAGTGTGGAAGCCAAGGCAAGGAGCCGCCAGGGAGAAGAGGCAGCCGTGCAAATAGCGGTGGCACAGCCCAACAGACTTGTGTTTCCAGGAATATCCCTAAGGAAACTGCAGTGGCAGAATCCCCTGAGATGAAGGGCTGACACAAGATTCCGCACACAGTCTTGCAGAGCCTCGACGCTACACGTGGAGACTTGTTCAAAGGACTTGCCCCTTTGCCCAAAGGGACCTTCGGAGCTGTCGTTCTGTGTGAGGCATACACATTTAGCCTCTGTAATAGAGAAGACCCAGCCTTGCTGCACTTTGGAACGTCTGTGAGGAGGAAGCCTTGACAGTTCGCCTGGTCTCTTTCTGCAGAAATCTTCCAAGAGGGATTCTCTTTCCCGTAAACAGATGCTTTTAGTAGAATGTTCCCCTCACTCCTGATTGCCACCGTCACATCCATCAACTTCTTCCTGGGATCTTTATTTTTTGTACACTGTTGGTTCCAAACTTTTTCCTTTCCCGCAGTCACAGGTTATCGGTCAATTATTTTCCACAATTTCAACTAAGCCAGACACCCAAATGTAACAAAATAATAGCATAAACTCCCACCTGAACTCAGGCAGGTAGCTTATGGAACAAAAAGGCAGTCATTTTAAAAATGTTGTACATTTTAAAAAGCCAACAAAAGGTGCATAAGGTGCATAAATCCTTTGGTCCTATTTCTTACAATAGACTGCTGGGTATTTCAAACACTGTCTATAGAATTACCATTGAATCAGGGTTGGCTTAATCTGTATACTAAATGATCTGTAGAGAATGAGTCTCATCAGATTATGGTTCGCCTGAAGGATTCCTAATGCATCTGTTGTGATTTATTTACAGAATTAGATGGTGCTTTGTGGTCGTGGTGGTGGGTTAGGAGAGGAATTTTCACAAGGGAGCATACAATACAGAAAATTTCGACAAAATCAACAATCAGATTAA